TATATATATATATATATATAGGCCCAGCAATCAGCTTGACTTAACTCAGATATTTTTGTTTAAGGATCAAGATTTAGATTTTGAGATATTGAGATTTAAACCAGGTTCAAATCAGCATGTGAATTCTGCATACTGAGAGAGAATCACATAGAGATAAAGCTCAGATCAAGTTAAGTTGAAGATAAAGAGAAGGTTATCAGTCGTTACAATCAAACCACCACTGAATTCTAATTACCACAAAATGCTGAACTCTGTGGATATCTTCCAGATCACATTAAAATGGGCATTCTGTATCCAGAGCAAGCTTTGCACAGTAGGGTCTGTAGCTGTTTTGCCTGAGTAATTGACAAATCTGTGAATCTTCAGCATTCATTGTTTAAAGCACAGTTTGAGTTGGTCTGGGAGGAACTTTCATTATAGAGTAGCCCTCCTATTATTTCTAAAGCTTAAATCATTAACTATGTATGTCTGTTTGCTGTGCTTTATTGGAGGATACACCCAGGCACTTGTCTACTAGCAGTCAATATATTAAGAAGGATTTTACACACGATCCTGGAATATAAAAAAAACAGTTTTGGAATCCAAAGCCTTTTATTATATAATATAAATGTTTGTTTTTTTATCATTTGTGTTGTGCTCTCCATCAATTCAAATGTTTTATGTTTTTCTGATGTTTTTGTGGTTTGTTCAGATGTAACTTAACATAGATAAGCTGTGCTGCCGTCTTTGTTTCAGAGAAGACTTTTTCTGATTCATTTTCAACATTGAACATGCTAACGGAAGACTGTAGAATCAGAGGTCGAACTCTTTGCCTTTCATATCAGCATTATGCGTCAATTTATTTGAACAAAAAACAATAGAGTTTGAGTTGTCAAGTTTTGTGTCATAATGTTATTTGTTACCTCATTAGAACTTGAAAGGGTTTCCTCCCTTTTCACACAGCTTCTCATACATTGTATTAACACCTAACTGCTTTGTACTTTCTGTTTCAATTTTCAATTTTATTTTTTTTTGTTATGAAGTCCTTCAGGGGCAATGAGAGGCATGCCCCCATCTCCTGCTCTAACCAAACCACTGTGTGCAAAGCCTTTAAAAAACGTCAGTGTACCTGCCATGCTGCTTTCCGGCCTCATCACTATCCTTCTTTTCCCCCCACGAGGAAGTGGATTGATCTTTAGAGGAGACTTCTGCGGGTTTAATCCCACTGCAAACATGGAAGGACATCTTAAGTAGAAGAAAAAGTTCTGTGTTGTTAAGTTAGGGCTGTGTCAGAAAAGGCGAATGAGCTAAGAAAGACCTTCAGGTTTTTTCTAATGACTTTCAGACTGATCCTTCCTTGTTTGTAAAACTATTAGAAAATGTAATTGATGTATCAATGTCCTTGTGGATTTACGCAATGAAGATACTTGAATTATTGTCCTTTATTATAATGTCATCATATACAGTACATATATATACATGTGTATATATATATATACTGTATATATATAAACCCAATAGTAAGTAACCAATAATAAAAGATGAAGCAAGAAAGCTGTCAAGAGCAAACAAAAAAGTAATTGTTACAAAAACACAATATCTGAGTCCCTGACCTGGTTTGAACCTACTTTAGTCAGATGAGTCTATAGCCAAACCTTTTAAACAGAATTAGTATAACCTTATTATCACCTTTTCACTTTTTCTCATGAATATTATAGATAAGCAACTAAAAGCAATCAAATTAAGCAAACACTCAGCTCCCGATTAATTCTAATTATAATCAAATTAATTCATTTAGCCACTTGCCTAAAGCTCGTGTAAACAAATCCATTAACATTCTTGGGCTGTGGACACGGCAAAGTTGAGTCACAGTGTTGCAAAGTACCGATGAACCCCGCTTAAACAAGCCAAACGTCCCATGGATAAAGTTCTGAATCTTTTCTCATAAGATTAATTTCTGAGGTGATCAGTCGTCTGAGCAGGAAATGAAGAGTGAAATGAATCGAGACATTTTGAAGTGGCTTAATGGGATGTTTTTGATCGGGCCATCTTACCGTCTTATGTGAAGACTTTAAAGGTATCAAATAAGCTAGAATTGCATAAAGTCAGTGATTAAACACTTTCTTGTTTCTGCTGCTCCTATCAGGATCTCACTGCTATGATTTACCTCGTCAAGTTTTTGCTCATCTCCTCGTTTCATTCTTCCTTTGAAAAGATAAAAAGACGAATGAGCACCCTCTCAGCCTAACCTCTCCCTAACTATTCCCTAACCTCTACATCTGCCCTCTAGATGTGGTGATTGGACCATAAGAGTGTGTAATGTTTTTGGCTCTCACTGAGAAAGAGTCTGCCTGCTTTATACAAACCTCTGTCAGAATGTTATGAGAGATGTTTGCTCAGGTGGCTGAATCTACCTCCACCTCGGATGTGACCACTGACGAAAAACTGCCTGTGTCGTTTCAGATAAATCGTGGATGCACACTCCGGAGGCGCTGGCCAAGCATTACATACCGTACAATGTCAAGGTAGGGGTCTCCGTCAGACTGCTGTGCCGCGATGAGCGTGAAAAAAACAACGAGCGGTGGCTTAAGTGACAGAAAAAGCCAAATCTCACGACGATTTTAATCGGGACGCCGTCAAGTAATGACAGATATTAGCCCCATGCCAGCTGGAACCCAGACACCTGATCAGGTCGACATGCACAGAGCTCACTGATTTATCCATTTAAATGGTAATTCCAGCGATAGTGTGGAGGCCACGTGGTGGTTAGCATCAACTGTCAAATGCATTCTAAAACATAATTAGTCTTTCGGAGCTGCGGTTTCTCTTGGTGTCACAGTGGAAAGCCCTTCCTATCAGCGTTTGCATCTAAAACTTGTCATTTAAATGATAATCCTTCATTGATTCTGTTTTAATGTGAGCAACGTTTTTTTTTTTGGCACTCTCTGTCTTGAAGAATCACTCGGATATCCAGCGCAAACCTCCTGAAGGAGTAGTGTCTCTCTTTGACAGCGTTTTCCTGTCAGGCTGGTTTTTCTGCTTCAGTTTGACAAAAAGACATTCTCTCCTGCGAGGGTTAGACACAATCTGCCCTCCTACATCCTGTGCTTCAGAAATGTTATGCTGGAGCGGAGATGGAACTCCAAAACCGTTTTTTATTTTTTTATTTTTTTGTCAATGCGGCACAAAAGGAGAGTGGAGTAGCAGAAGGCACATTTTTGGAAATCCAAGCAGATTTTTAGCTTTTGCTGATGAGTTCCTTGTGTTGTTAACTTGGATCAGGTCTGAGTGGAGCACTCGAGGCTGAAGGAGTTTAGGGCAGTAGGACAGAACTCGTGTTAAAGATGTGCTTTACTGGTTTAAGGGACACATTATTGTTGAAAAATAAGATGAGATCATTCCTTTAAGCTCTTAGCTGCTTAGAGCTGCTGTGACAAAAGGTATTTTCTTCTAGTCTTCAGGCATTGATTCACCGAGTACATCAAATCGAAAAGCTCTTCCCTCATCTTAACTTGACAGTGCCATAGGACCTCCAGTATTAGATTTCCTGAGTTTGCCTCACAGTTTTAAAGTTAAGGTAAGTTTTGAGGTAAACTTCCAAGCTCTGTGGAGCAAAGCCTGAGGAACAAAAGTCTGCACTTACGCTTAACATCAGAGATGTAGTTGCTAATGAGAATATCTGGGTCATGTTCTCAGTATTTTCTTGGAATGTGAATAAATTCATAAGAAAAAAATGCACATAATAGTTGTGTTGCTTTAATTTCAGGGTTCATGATTCTAAGTAGTCATCTATTATCAAATAGCACTAATTGAAAATACAGTCATTTTAACTACTTGCTGAGGCCAAAGATGAAGATTTTCCATTCCATTTGATACAAACCCAGCATGGCCTCTCTTTTTTCACCCCTGCTAGAATATTCCAAACATACTGATGCTACTTGACTGTTCCATTAATTAGAATGCTTGATTTATGTATTAACTGAAAGCATAATGACTTTTGTAGGCTTTTTAACAAATTAGTTTAAAGTCATTACTCTGAGTTTTAGCAAAGTTGTGAAACATTGTGAAAGAAAATGATATCTTGGTAACTACAATATGTGTAATTGTTCACTGAAGAAAAACTGGTCTACAATTCTGAATTAAGTTGTCAAAAACAAAGTGCACTCCATGATCAACAACCAACCGTTGCACCGACGGCTTGAAATAATTCTTTATCAGGGTCTAAAGTTGTGAAAAAAGTTTGGCTCATTCTTCTTTGCAGTATTATTTACATTAATTGATGTAGTTTCTTCATAGGTCTCTTAAGGTTCCACAGCATTTCAGTCAGGCTGAGCTCTTTACTTTGACCGGACCATTGCAATGCCTTTATTCTGTACTTTTCCAGACATTGTGCCGAAGGCCTGCTGTTGTGTTTGGGATCATTGTCCTGTTGATGACCCAGTTTCAGCGGAGCCTCAGAGCATGTCAAACTCAGGAATACTTTGGTATACAGAGGAGTTCCACTCATTTACTGTAGTATGTTCACGTCCTGTGGCTGTTAACCAAAATCTCAGCAATCCACCATCAGGATGGCAGTCTTTTGAGGTAAAATTGTTTGTACTGGGGGGGGTTTCCCCGAAAGTCTAATCATATTCGACTTTGATACGATTTGCTGCCATTGTTCTTTTAGACAGAAGCGGTTTCCTGTTTCAACCCTTCAAAACTCGCCATATTTGTTCAGTCTTTTTCTTCTAGTACCGCCACGAATGTTAACATTTGACATGAGGCCGGTCCAAGATGTAGCCCTCGGGTTTTGTTTTAGCTGCTCTGAGCATTTCACAGTACAATCTCAGGAAAACGTCTCCCAGGAAGGCTGACAACTGTCCTGGATATTTCCCACCTGAAAAATCATCTTCACTGTAGTACGATGGAACAAAATAGTTTGAAAATGGCTTCTGAAACCTTCAAAACTTATGAGCAGTGAAAATGTCTTGTCTTTCCTCCTTTGGATCCTGTTGACACACACCAAACTGACTAAACCAGGAGCTAACCCTTGCTGACATCAGTTATTATAGTTCATTTGATTGATTGGTTGATTTTTTACTTTCATTATGTCCCAATCGTTGAATTGGGAATTACTTTCCTATTCTCAGGACTGAACAAACCTTGTGCCTTTAAACATAAATCATGTGTACGTCAGTAATTTGCACAAAGAAAACTCTGAGAAGCACAAAACGCTTGCATAATAAAATAAAAACAAATGGAATTGTAATAAAGATTTAGAGCAGGTTGGGGGCAACTCTGAGCATCGAGGGCGACTGTCCAGCAGTTTTTAGAGCCGTTCCTACTTCAACACTCCTGATCCACATCAGCACAGCCTCAGCAGTCCTGTGCAGAGCTGAACACTCTTTAGAAGGGATCCATTTTATCTGAATAACCCCTAACTTGGCAGAGTAATGTAACTGAAATCCATTAACCTTAGAAGTCTTGAATCTTATGTCTACAGTGTCTCTCTTAGATATCCTGCTGTGTCTAAACCTTTGATTAATATGCCGGCGCCTCTTATCTGAAAGACACCACATTCACAATTTAACCCCTTTTTTTAATAGAAAACTAAATAGATAAAATAAATGTCTTAGAAATTATCTGGAAATACGCCAGACTCTGTAATCCCGAGCAATGTTTCGGTGGATCTGTGTCCCCGCTGTTTAATGCCGAATCGTTTCCCTGATATGAGCGAGTCACAACAGCAGCAGAGCGTTGTCACCATAGTCTCTATCTCCCCGTTTGGAATCGAATCAGCGCGGTACGAGGTGACAGCCAAGGCTGGCGTCAGCTTCTGTTTCCGTCTGTTTCAGCGCCACCTCCTCATCCCCAGATGTCCTCCCACAAATGGCTGTCACACACCTCAGAACTGCGCCGTTCTGACATGGGTTTGGATACAGTTGTAAAGTGTAGGGCGAAAGGGAGGAATGAAAGCTCAGGAGTTCAGTTTTTTCTATTTTTTTCAGTTTCTTTTTAGTTGGACACATGGCACTTTAACTGAGCCTGTCAGCTCAGTGTACAGAGTTGAACTGAATTTAACTTTTTTACCATGTGTCATCTCAGTGTACTCAGACTTGCCACAAGGTTGAAACGGGTATTTGTGTGTGCATGTGTGTGTGTGTGAGAGAGAGAGTCTGTGAAATACCCAACATGTAGAGAGAGTCAGGGCTTCCTCATTTTCAGCTGCGCGAGCTGGTTGATGGATGAGCCTCCGAGCTCGATTTGCCTGGCCAAACCTCCCCGGTCGCAGCCCAGAACGCACCGGTCAGGAACATGTGCTGGACCTTTCTATTCTGGGCATCTGCCAGCCACTCTCCCAGACGCACCCGCAAGCGTGTCGAGAGTCCATTTGTCACACTGCTTCAGAATAAAAAAAACACTTCAGTTGGAAGTAGTTTGCCGTCCTTTCGGTCTTCGTGCATTTGAACAAAAAAGATTCTTTGTTGACCAATTAAAGAGGAAAAAAAACGTCACTGTGATAATAGCTCTTTATCTGGATCATTAAATGGCATAAATGTTCACGGAAGTCCGAATAACAAAGGACAAATTGGCTTTTTATGGAGACAACAGACTCTCTTGACAAGGAAAAAATCTCCCGTGGCACCAAACACAGGGACAACAGTCTGCAGACTCACACACGGGCTTTGGCACAGGCAGGCTTCACACAGATTTCATTATATCAGAGACGATTCATGCCCGTCCGAGCTGTTTGCCGCGCTCCACTGGGAGACATTGTTATTTTGTTTTTTTCCAACCTTTAAGGGGCTTGACACCACTCCTTTATGAAGCCTGATATTGGAACAGGCTGCACACATTAAGCTCCAGGGGCAAGAAAGCAGTGTGTGTGTGTGTGTGTGTGTATATATATGTGTGTGTGTGTGTGTGCTGCTGGCTCCTCCTTCTGGCACAATTGCTCCATCTGTTGGAAACCAGCAAAAGTGCTTATTCCTACTAAGGAAAACATTTCCCAGTGGTCAGAATGCAAATATTCTAAAAGTGAATCTCACAAGAATTCTTAGAATAATTGCTCATTCAATGTTTTGTCCATGTTTTGCCTTGTGCTCGGTGTTTAATTTGTTCAGGTCCTTGGCCTGATGGATATTTCTGCTCTCTCTCCTTAGTTTCTGGGAAACACAGAGGTTGAAGCCCCGAAAGGCACAGAGGTGGTGAAGGATGCGGTGAGGAAGCTGAAGGTAAAGCCCGTCCTGTGGGTACGTGGTCGGGTGAGCAGAGGCGGGAGGCGGGGGGGGGGGGGGGGGGGGGGGCGGGAGTGAGTGACAAATGCTCGCCTCCCTCATCCAGTCCAACAAGGTGCCCTTGGAGTGTTTCTGCTCCCAAGTGTGGCCGGTTGGAAGTGCCGGATAAGCAGTTTGCCACTGTAAACCTCAGTCTGATGGAATGCTCAGGTGTCGGATCCTTAGCTCATTTTTTACTGGGAATAGATAGATAGATAGATAGATAGATAGATAGATAGATAGATAGATAGATAGATAGATAGATAGATAGATAGATAGAAATAACAAATGTCGCAATATGACACAATATGAGCCAATTTGGATTTAGAATCAAGCAAAAACATCTTCTGGAGAAAAAGCTATCCTTTGAATCTTCTCTGGGTGCAGTGATTTAAAAATAAGATTGTTTACTTTCACTACAGTAATTTGTGTTTGTGTATATATATATATATGTGTGTGTGTGTTTTTTTGGTTATAATCATTAAACCTAAACCCGTCCTGGTCATTGACAGCACAATGATGAGTAAATCTTCCCTTCTGTTGCCTAACAACTGGAACATGGCATCACCCCGAGCCCCGATTTCAACATCTGAGACAAAAAACAAAACAAAAAAATGCACCATTGACTTCAGAGATGCTCGAGAAAAAAAGTCGGCAACTTTGTTTTTTATCTCTCCTAGTGAATAACGTTTCACCCTGGTTACTTCCAGGAAAAATCTCTCTCCCCAGTTCCGCCGTGTAAGTGGACCTTTAAGCCTGGGAACAGCCCCAGGCCTGGCAACCCTCTCCCAGCCTCTTGCTAATGCGGCTGTGCTCCCTGCCTGCTGGCCTCCCCGCTGCCTCTTCCTGCCAAGAGCCGAGTCTGTGAGGCCATTTGTGGGGGAGTCTTGTTTTCCCAAACCCGCACGGCTATTGTGCAACACATTTGATCTCGGAGGCCCGTTCGGAACAAGACTCCATGGTTACTCCCCCTGGTTACACTGGCAATAAAGGCGCGCTTAGCTATGCTTCCAAAGATCACACAAGTATCACTTGAGAGACATTTTGGAGACGTAGAGGCTAGTTTCCATGGTGTGGGTCAAAGAATGGAGTGTTGTATCAGTTAATATACACAAACCTGAGTGACTACATTGTACAAAATGAATCTCCCGCTGACACACACTCTTTTCTCTCACTTCTGTTTTGGCTCACGTCTGTGTCGGTTGGCCGTCCCAAAGAAGTAAGTGTCTTCAGTTAGAGAGGCATAACTCAATGTTTTACATTGTTTGGTGAGATTTAGATTAGATTAGATTAGGTTAGACTGACAGATTGATCTGTTTCCTGCAGAGGTAAAGTGGGTGAAGAGCCTCTGCTGCAGATATTTAAGCTGCAGGTTAAATTTGTATGGATTCAGCAGATATCTTCATTTGTTCGAGGTCCCTGCCAGGTTACTGTTGGCTGTTGCAAACATCCTGGATAAATTGCAATAGTTCCTCTGTCAAGTTAAGCTTTCTCCTCTTGTGTCTTGGTAGTATGGTGTGGTGGTTAGCGCCATCGCCTCACAGCAAGAAGGTTCTAGGTTCGAGTCCTGGGGGAACCAGGACCTTTCTGGGTGGAGTCTGCATGTTCTCCCTGTGTCTGTGTGGGTTCTCTCCGGGTTCTCCGGCTTCCACCCACTGTCCAAAAAGCTGCATGTAAGGTTCATTGGACATTCCAAATTTATCTTAGGAGTGAGTGTGCGTGGTTGTGTGTCTCTGTGTGGCCCTGCGATGGACTGGCGGACTATTCAGGGTGTACCCCGCCTCTCGCCCATTGACCACTGGGATAGGCTCCAGTTCTCCCCGTGACCCCATTAGGGAATAAGCTGCAACAATAATGGATGGATGGATGTCTAGGTAGTAAAACCAGACTGACTGATACATTCTAAAAAAAAAGATATATATATAGATATAGATATATTGTTATAGTATTTATTCCACTTGGCAACGGAACTCTGAAGACTTGTTTTGTTAGGACTTGAATCAAAGGAGCCCTGAATCACACCATAGCTAATTTGTCACGAACAACCCAAACTTCAGTGATTAGATTTTCCTAAACAAAGTGAACTTTCATTGTCGGAGACTGATTGCGCAGAGGTTTTATTCCCCTGAAAGGTTTTTATTGATGAAACTTGACCTTCACGCTCCGTTAATTCAATCCTTCTTTAGCCGCACAAATCATTATCTTTAATGCAATAAAACACCAACTGTGTACCATGACCCCAGGCCTCAATGTTTACGTGTAAACAACAGTTTTTCCCAGCCTCACTGCTGTCATTTAAAATAATTCCCAGCATTTACTATTAGTTGATTAAATTAATGGAAGTCATTCAACTAAAGAGGGGAGTTCCAGCTCAGTAACTAAAGATAAACTTCTAGCCAAATATATGGAACTATTAATCACTTAATGAATTCTTCCAACTAATTGTATGCACAGCCTAATGACAGGTGATTCAAAATGAGCCCGTCGGAGATGAATGTTTTGTTTACAGGTTGCTTTCTTTCTCTCTGATAGTTAATTAAATGTAAATGTAACATGAATAAGTACCGTTTTTCTTTGTGTTTGACTTTCTCCAACGGGCAGTTTCAAAGGCACATCAAGAAGTCGGAGGGCCAGAAGACGCCCAAAGTGGAGCTGCAGATCTCCATCTACGGAGTGAAGATACTGGATGCCAAGACAAAAGTGAGACTGGCGGTTTGATTCGTGATTTCTGGAAGGGGGGGAAGGCAAACTCGGCGTGTGTGCAATAAAACCTTTATGGATAGCCTGTAAATAATGAATCACACGTTTGTTTTTCCAGGATGTGCAGCACAACTGTCAGTTACACCGGATATCTTTCTGCGCAGACGACAAGACCGACAAAAGGATATTCACTTTCATCTGCAAAGACTCGGAGTCCAACAAGCACCTCTGTTACGTGTTTGACAGTGAAAAGTGTGTAAGTGTCCCCCCGAAACGAATCAGAGGGGGTGGGTGGGGGGGGGTCACGGCCATGTTTGAACACGATTCTGTCGCGCCTCAGGCGGAGGAGATAACTCTAACCATCGGCCAGGCCTTTGACCTGGCCTACAAGAAGTTCTTGGAGTCCGGGGGCAAAGACGTGGAGACCAGGAAGCAGATCGGAGGCCTGCAGAAACGAGTGGGTCTCGCTAACGCGGACGGTTTTATTTACTCATTTTTATTTACTAGTGGATTACTGTTAAAAACACATCGGCTCTGAGTGATTTTGTCTTGATTGTGACTTATGAGAAAGAATGATGTCATCACACAATGATTTGTTTGATCAAATGTTATATTTCTTTATATCTTCTGAATCATTCTTATCACTTAGATTGTGCAGGGCAGCCCGTTCTTGTTGAGGTTTAATTCTCTTGTCTGATGTTTTTGTAGATCCAGGAGCTGGAAACTGAAAACTCTGAGCTCAAGAAACAGCTTCAAGACCTGGAAGAGCAGCTGATGATCGCTCATGTGCCACCAGTAAGACGCGCCAAGCTCACACTTCTGGGATACTTGTACTTTAAATGAGACTCATTCATTATGCTCTGATAGTTCACCAGAGTGTTGCATCCTCATCAGGCCACACAGGAACCGATCCAGCGCGTAACTGCTCACATTAGTGCTCACCGAACTATTTCATTCAGTTTGGGGGGTCGATTGCCTGCCCCCAGGCCAAATTCAGACTTCGATTCGAATACAGAATCAAGCAGACATATTTAATCTGGACCAACGCTTAATTGGCTGAGAGGCAGCTGGCTCTGCAGACAGAGCCTCTGTGATTGGACCTCAGGCCTCCCGTTCGGAACCGGCCGGCCCGCAGGGTGTCTGAGAGCCGAGCAATTACACGCCCGGTTGGTCCGATGACGAATGCGATCCGTTCCCCGTCTTATCAGGGCAAGTGCCAGCAGTTGCGACAGCCAGCTGCGAATCCAATTACCTGCAGCTCTGCCGCTCAACAGGACTGAATAATATTGTCCCCCTCTGGTCACTCTCTGTCTGCCGTCTCTCCTCAGCCGCTGCACATAAACGCGGCTAATGAGGCGTACATGCTGCAGAGGCCCTCCTCTCTCTTCTGGTGCCACGGCTTCAAGTCGCTCTCCTGTCTGGAAATCTCCTCTGTCACACTCACCCCCATGAGCTCGCCGGAGTCCAACCTGTCCGCAGGGCTACTAACTCCTCCTCCTGCCAAACCCGCTGTCCCTCCGCCCAAAGCTGCCGAGGGCTGCAGCATCCCGCGCCCTCGCGTAAACACGCTACGCTTTCTTTTTCTGGCCTTTCTGCTCTCTTTAAAAACCTCTCTCTGTCTCTCTTTATCTCTCTGTCCTGCCGCTTTCTTTTTCTTCTTCTTCTTCTGTTGTCTGTGCGGATGAGCGGCGGGCGCGCAGGAACACAAAGACTGACCGCTTGCTTTTTGGTGGCAGGTGGGGAGCATCTCCATGAAACCTCAGTCCACAGACATTTTTGACATGGTTCCTTTCTCCCCCGTGACGCCGCTGGTGCCCACGCCAGCCAGCAACGGCTGCCCGCCTCCTCCACCAACCACATTGCCGCCCGATATGAGTGAGTCAGCATATTCAACGGTTCTCAGCATTATAATTCAAATAAAGCATCCTAAACACATTTACAGCTTTGAAAAACACACTGTCATTATCTTTCAAACTCTCACATGCAAATAATACACTATGTGTGTGTATGTACAGTGTAAATAAGTATTTGACCCCTTGCTGATTTTGCAGGTTTGCCCACTTACAAAGAATATAACAATCTATAACTTTAATCATATGTACATTCTAACAGTGAAAGACAGAATCCCAAAGAAAATTCCAGAAAATCACATCATATGAATTTATGAAAATTGATAACCATCTGATGAGGAAAAATAAGCATTCTTTGTAAGTGGGCAAACCTGCAAAATCAGCAAGGGGTCAAATACGTATTTCCCCCACTGTACATACAGAGATTGATCCGTATATAAGGAATAAAGGTTACTCGTCTGTCTGCGTCTGCAGGGAAAGATCTGTTCGGCGCCGAGCCCTTTGATCCCTTCACCTGCGGGGCAGCGGACTTTCCTCCTGATATTCAGTCCAAGCTGGACGAGATGCAGGTGAGCCTCCGCCTGCATGCGGTCGTCCGGTTTTCGGTTTCCCGACATTTAGGACGCAGGTCCCACTGCTTAAGGCTTTAATTTAGCCGACGAGAAGCTGTTCGCTTATTGGAAACCAAACCCAAAGGAAGAAAAATATAAACGGCGGGGAACATCCGCAGAGGGAAAAGGCAGGAATCGTGTAAACCTAAGGGAACGTCTGGGATATTAAATATAACAGTAGATTCTCATTTGTCAGCTCGGCTTGAAAAAAGTGTTCCCAGTCACATCATTTTAATCTTTAAAATAAGAGAATTCCCTGACACTTAATGTCGTGTGTGGGCCTTTGGCCTGACTTCAGCTATATGCAAATCCTAATAATCTTCCTTTGAAGATGATGTTTTTTCGTTATGAAAGGTCGGATGGAAAAATGGCGAATTTGAATTTTTCAGAAAAAGAAGCATGAGCCACTACCAATTTGCTCTAAAGTGTCCCGTATTGGACAAAACAAGACCAATTCATTTCTATTTCTTTCTTTATTTAATGAAGCATTAGTTGATTTTCACTACAGAAAAGATTTTCCCCACGTTACTATTAATGGAAGGGAAATAAGGCTTTTCGGCTTCAAAAACGTGGTCCGAGGAAAAGTTCGGAGGCCACTGAAACAGCTTGAGGCTCCAAGTATCCAGACAGTAATGACCAATTCGCTCTCTATCCTGTTTTTTTTACCTTCTATCGTTTATTCTCTGACAGGGTATAGAGTAAAATGATTGTCCAGAAACTTAGAATGACCCGACAGTCCCACAACTGAGCTCCAAATGTCTGAGTTTCTGCATGGTGCTGCCACCAGGGGGCACTGCTGCTTTAGAACATTTTTTATTTTAATTTTATTACTAAGCCTCTTCTTCTTCTTAATGATTAACAGCTGGATGTTCTCTTTTGCTTTTCCTCCTGTAGCGTCAGAGATGGTTTGTAACTCTTTTTTCTCTCTGTCCGTGCTGTGACTCTGGTCGTGTTTTGGTCCCGCATGCCCTCACTGTCCACCGCACCGTGTCCAGCGTGTCTGTGCCACAACCGTTATCATCCCGGCTTTTTTCCTTTACGTGTTTAAAAAAGAGTCGAACTCGCCCATCAAAAGTCGCGGAAAGTTTTGTGTTGCTCGTCACCAGGTTTCACCACAGAGTCCCAAAGGGATCGTCTGTGGCCGCATTTCATTGGTTCGTTTCCCCATTAAGAGGCATGCCGCGGCCCTTTCCCGTTTTCATTGGCTCTCAGTTTCAGACGTCCTTTAGATCTCTCCATCGTTTCCACTGAGCGCGTGAAAGCTGCATGATCTCTGAACCAAAGTTGTGCTCTTGGGTCGTCCTCCAGGAGGGGTTCAAAATGGGACTGACCCTCGAGGGCACCGTCTTCTCTCTGGACCCGCTGGACAGCCGCTGCTGATGCCCACAGGAAGACTCTTCCCCTTTTGAGGCAGACTTTTACGTCGTTTGTATGAAGAAGTGCCAAAATCCGCTCCACGCTCGGGACAAGATGTCACACTTTTCATCTTGAGGTTTATATGCATTTGCATTTAGATTGGTTTTCAATATTTCAAGGTAAACTGGGGTCCATTATAGAAAAGAGCTATTTTTGTAAAAAAGAGGAAAAAAGAGGAGAGAAACAAGCACGGAAAGGGGGGGGGGGGGCGTTTTGAGTATCTTTTTGCTCGCACAGGCAAGGTGTAAATAGTCGAGTACGTCCAATGGTACACCCTGTGGCAGAATTTTCATAAGTGTGTGTGTGCACCTGTTGAATTCTGTGTTGTTGACACATTCCTGTTTGTATGCCAAAACCCTCAAGAACAATAAATGGAACCTGCACCGTTAACAAAACCGTTCTGTTCGCTCATAGCCTCGGATATTATCGTTTACTTTGAATTAATTTACCTTGTTTATTAATCCAGCCTCTTTATTTTTTTTCCTCCTGGCTTTTACATCACTGACTATTTTTTCCTTGTTCTTTTTTGTTCCTCTTTTTGTGTGTCAGACAAGTTGATGTGAATTTCCAATTCAGTATTTACATTTATTTTGTTTTTTTTTAGTCTCATCTTCTTCTCTTCATTCGCGCAGAGCTGTCGGAATTACTTTCGGTCACATTGATTTTACCTTTATTAAAGAAACTCAAACTGAGAAAAACAACAACATACCTTTATTCCTTTGTGTGGTTTCATTTATCTGTGGTCGGGATTTCTCTGAAGTTCAGTATAAGTAATAACAACAGCATTACAGGATGGGTTCTAACTAGCTATTTGAAATGTTTTATTAAATTAGCCACAGAGCTGTGCTTTGAGCTGTTTGAAAATGGGTCGTGTTAAAGAAAAATAGAGAAAAAGAGGACTATAATTAGAATTCTGCACCGGAAAAGAAAAAACAGGTCATAGAGTAGTAGCATAACCCTCTTTTTAAACCCCTCTATAATCACAATTATTTGTAAGATATAATAAAGACCCTATATTACTTTGTAAGGTTCAAATGTTTTTATGCTCAGAAAATGGATCCTTTTTTTCTACAATCTATTTTTAGAACGCTTCATGCCACCCAAACAAATTCAAGCTTCTGTCTCTGTAAAGGCCACGAAAGTAAAAAGAAGCCTTGAACTGTTCTGGTTCAAAAATCTCACATTTTTGCTACATTGTGTGAGACCACTGGAGTGGCACCGGTCAGAAGAGGTCCAGTAGTGCAGCTGGACGCAGGGGCTACTCTCTCCTATAGCTCCCTATTTTTTTTTAGGAATGTTAATATCACACACTGTAGATTCTTTCCCCCACAGGAGCATTGGTTGCAGCATTTATCTAAAGGATGCTAATTTATCTAAAGCCGTTTTTCCTTTTCGTCGAGCAGCAGAGGCTGGAGCTTCCCTCTCTCATTTTTCACGGGCGTATCTTTTTGACAAGGTTAAAAGCTGTTAAACGTAACGACTGGAGAGATTTAGCAGACCATTCTCTCCAGATAAAAGGGAGCCTGAAGGGGTCTGAATAATTTTAAGAAACAAAAATGTAAATCAATGCTAGCAGTTATAATGTGTTTGTGTCCATCATATAAACGAATGTTATTTTAATGAGAAAGAAGAAAGAGTTTGTTGCTAATAAGATGTAATAATCTTCTTTTCACTCTCCAGATATGTTTTTTGTATTGTTAAGCCAATTAGGTTTGAATAAGGTGTATTCCCCATAAGGCTTTAGTTAAACATGTCCTATTACTCCTGAAGTGACCAGCAGATCGGGTCAGCCGAAGCTGCCAAACCAGCCAAAAAATGTGTATATTGTGCCTTACACATTGATCCAGACAAATGGAGAAAGAAATGCCCACAAACACGGCTTTTTAGACGATTCGGGATCCAAGCACTCACTTGTTGTCACCCTCAAACTTAAAGACGTAAAAAGAATTTTAACACACTGGAGGAGAGATTGAAACCTCACAAACTTATAATGTCCTAATTGATTGGGAAATAAATCAAAATTCCATCTTTGTACCACATATTTATGCTAGAAAAGGCTCAAATGTATTGCAACCTGAAAACTATGGAGCTTTAATTTATGTTGGCTTTTTTTTCTTTTTGGTTTTCAACTAGAAAATGAGTTTGTGTGTAAAATGACCAACTAACCACAGCTTCATTAATTTGACAAGAGTTTGGGGGGGATAATCAAGCATTTAGTTTAATTTGATGCATAGCAAAAAAATAAAATAAAAAAATACAAAGCAAACAGCCACTCACAGCCATCTTGTTCTATAAAAACTGATTATAAGAAGGGTTTCAAATGCATATAAGTTCAGGATACTGAAATAGGGGAGCTGACATGCATAAAAAAAAGGAAATTTGGAGCTATCCGTTACTGTACCAGACTGATGATGAAAGAAAAATGTCACCAATCACCACACAGCACCTCACTCATCCCTCCATCGTTGACAAAAAGATCTTTATTAGCATCCCCGAGCCCTGCCTTGTGCCATGTGACTGGAGGAGGCGCACAAGGAACACAGCTTACATAAAAGCACCTTGGAATGAAAAAACAAAACAAAAAAGATTTACATGTAACGTCATTTTTTTGGTGACGAGGTAGCTAACACTGGGTAACGAAAAACTGAATGCGTCTCGTTTTCCTCGTAGCTGGTGCAAAGTTCAGAAGAACTGGATACACACATCAGACCCTCAACGTTACATCTGTGAACTAATCAGCGACCGATTTATTTTTTTCATCAATAGCACCAAAATGCATTATAGTCCACATTTAAAATAAAAAATAATAGTTGGCGAATCTGTAGAAAAAAAAAAAGAAGAAATAATAAAAACGCACAGTGGGACATTTGACGTGGTTTCAATGGAACTTTTTCTGGGCTTTAAAACAGCAGTTGTAGTATTTTGAAAATGTTCAATCCTTTGATTACAATTTGTAAAATGAAATGTCAAGCTCTTTGGATCTTTACTATGTGTGAGGCTTAAGGTCAAACCTACACAAAACGAGGACAGAATTACTCCGATTTTTGAACCGACTGCTTTCTGTAACTTCCAAACGTTCGCACTGACTTGAATATCTTCGGTGTCTCGAACTGGGCTGAGAGGCACAATAAATATCTTGTCACAGGGCCAGAGTAGTCCTCAGTACTCGTATGTACAACGCGGCTGACCGTGTCAGCTGTCAGTTCAACAGTCTCAGGAATCTCCTCGGTCCGTCCCCTGCTGACGGGGTTTTACAAAAAGCAAACGGGCCCGATGTCGAGGCCGAACTCCTGATCGGGGCCACCAATGTCCACGGGGGCAATATCCACAATGGGAAGTCTGGCAGTTTTCTGTGTCCTGTACTCAAACACTGTCTTTCCCCAGCCGCCGTTTGCCTCCTGTGAAAGAAACAGAAACAGATTCCATGACTATCAGGGTTTTTTATTCTTGTTATTTTTGTGTTTTCTTTTTGTATGCTCCCTTTCTAGACCAGAATAACAGCAGAATTCTCATCCATATGTAAGTGTTGTTTGGGAAAATAATCTTTACATAGATTTTACAGTATTCTCTGTCTTTAAGTCATTCATGTTATAGTCTGAAAATGTTTTAAATACATGAATATATGTGCAGAAAACAGTATAAATCTGGGAAATTTGAAGTATGTAATCCTATGGCAACATGTATTTTGTCATTTTGTGTTGTTTATGTCTGATACAATATTGGATAATTTAACATTTTGTTTTTTTAATTTGTGATTTCAAATGATGGTGTAAAAGAAAATCTGGAAAGATCAATATTTAAATCTGTGAACTATGCAGCGGAGATACAGCTGAGACCATGAAGGATGGACTACTTTTAGTGTAATACCACATCACACCACTAGATGGGATGTGACTCTCTGCAGCTTCCAGATTCGAATCACTGGTAAAGTCTTTTTTTCTGTGAAGGACTGAAATATAAATAGAACATTTCTTTTTTCTTCGGGACTGGTGAGTAAAAAAACTATATCTATTTTAGAGCTTTGACCACCAGTAAAAATAGTAACATGTGTACGTTGTATAGTTACATGTATATTACTATATATCAAATGAAAAAACAAAAAAAACAATTGTGTATACAGGCAAAAATGTAGCTGTGTTACTATCACTGCCGCTCACCTTATCAGAGGTATAATCAAATACTCATCGTTTTGAGAATTTCATTATCATTTTGCAACATAACTTCATGCCATTGGACAGTCGTGCAATAACTTTATTTTGCCCGAAAGATTGCTAATGCAACATCAGAGCACTTTTTTTTTTAATCTTTAAGTAGGTGAAAAGGATGAAACTGCAAACATCTCGGAAGGTTTTTCCCTCTACTGCCAGTTCCTTGTCAGTTCTTATTGATGTGAGCCGCACAGTGGAGGTGGGATCTAGCTAACGGAACTTACCGAGCAGGAGTCCTCCAGCACCGCGTATCTGAAGCGGCTGTTTCCCTCCGCTTTGAGTTCCAGGTCGTTGGAGCCTTTGAGCAGCACGGCTTTCTTCAGATTGCCCGCCTTGGCGTCTTTGTAGCCCACGGAGTTCTTGCAGTGGTAGGTGATGGTCTGCGAGGCCTCTTTGGAGAGCAGGCGGATGAAGGTCATCTGCACCACGACGGAGTTGGCCGAGTGTTCCCTGTTGCCGTACGTGAACTGGACACACAAACACAACACCAATCACCACTGAACAGACCTTCCCAACGCTCCCTCCCTCCATCCCGCGAGCGATCCGAAAGCCGAGCGCTCACGTGTGTCCCGCCATTGATGTCTGCTCCGAACCACACAGGTTTGTTCCTGGCCGAGCTCCACCAGTTTTTCCGAGGTATGCTGGAGGGGCTGGCGGTGATGCAGGTCTCCCCGGTGTCCATGTTGCAGTGGACTTTGATAGCGTCCTCTGCGCTGCCTTGGTTTGGATCCACCCAGTATTCACCTAGAAAAGAAAAACAATCGGAGTTACGGGAATTACTCTTTGGCATACTTGGACAGTTGGACTCAACTTGTACAGTTCGGTCTCATTTTGCCATCCCCCTCCCCCGAGGCGCTCACCGCTCTTCTTCATGGGGTAGCACCTCTTAAGGTCGTCGCAGGTCCTCGCGGGGTGTTTCTTGGTTCCGTCGGGGCTCTTCATGCTGTCGATCTGGTTGCTAAGGGCCTTCAAGGTGGCCTGGACGCCGGGGTCCACGGGCACGATGGTGGAGGAGTTGCTGTTGGGCAAAGCCTCGTCCTCGCTGAACTCTGGAGGAGGCGGCGGCCCGGAGTCGTAATCCTGTGGGCCTCCGAAGAGATCGTCCACCACCGACATGGGAGGTCCTGGGGGACCTGGAGGACCTGGGGGTCCCGGTTCTCCTGGAGGACCCTGTGGATTTCGTCAAACAAAAAATCTTTTTTTTAATACATCCATTTTAAGTTCAATCAACAAACATTGAAACATCTGTCTAAAAGGTGTTCAGCGTTTTAACGGCAGTCTCGTCTGGCTTTAAAAGTTCTGCATGTCTTTCTACCTCTGGTCCAATTTCTCCACTGAGTCCACGAGTTCCTGGAGGTCCCATCGGTCCTGGCTGGCCCATGTATCCTTCCTTTCCATGCGGACCGATGGGTCCTGGGGGCCCCTGCGTAATATGGCAATAAAAAATTGTTATCTAGTGACAAGTACAAGAACAAAATTATACCTCAACTCAAACATCCTAATGTTCTAAATATAATAAAAGTGTAGAATTTACCCTCGCGCCATTTGGTCCAACTATTCCTGGAGCTCCCTGTTCACCAGTCGTACCCTAAAAAGAGGAAAGAAGATACTAATTCAGCTTTAAGAGCTACAATGGAAACCTTATAGATTATATTAAAAAAGGAATCCTACGTTATGGATCAATTTATTTATATTGTATGTTCATTTTAGACACAAAGTCTCTGGTTTCAGACATTTGCTGAGAAGAACAGCAACCCTGTCAGTTGAGTAGTTATTTTTCATTTAAACAGAGGCAGATGTCTGTCTGATGGAAAAAAGTAGACATTTGTCTGCTTTTTGCATGCCTGCTTAGGTGCTCTTCCCGTTTTTACAAAGACATTCAGGCTTTGTTAAAATGCAGATATTCGTGTATATTTTGTGTTCTCTTTTGACAAAAAATGCAAATGTTGCATTTATAGAGAAAAGGTATTTTCTTTCTCTTCTATTCAATAGCAGTTCACAATGTCATGGAATGTCCCTGTGCATCATTTGAACCTACTGGGGGTCCAGGAAGGCCTTGCAGACCGGTGAAGCCTCTGTGTCCCTTCTGCCCTCTCTCTCCATGGTCACCCAGGTCACCCTTATCTCCTCTTGGTCCTTGGGGCCCCTGAATTCAGAATGGTCAAACAGTTTGAGAATTGCAGTGCAGAAATGTTAAAGACTGATTAATGATTTAGTGTATTCATCTTAATCCACGTCCAAAGAAGGATGTGACAGTTTATATGTGCGTGTATTTTACGAGATACTCACAACTAATCCCCTCTTTCCAGCTGATCCTGGTGGACCTTGAGGTCCTCTAGAGCCCTGTAGACAGGTTGAATCAACAAAAGATTTTATGGACATACATAAAACAAAGAACTACTCAGCGTTTTTGACAACGCTTTCAAGCAAAAAATTCTATCGTTCAGTATTACAGGCTATGATCAGAAAATTATAATGTGTAAGTGTGTGAACAGCACAACAATAGGACAGAAAGACAAATATGGAAGAAGCAAAAAATGCTCTTACAGACTCTCCTCTCTTTCCCGCATCACCTGGTGCCCCAACTGGACCAGGAGTTCCAGGAAGTCCCTGAGGACCGATCAGACCTTCTGGACCAGAATCTCCTCTGTCTCCCTGAAATTAAATGTCTGTCAGTGACTCCAAAAAGAAAAAGAAAAAGCCAGGGCCAAAGTCAGGTTTTGATTCTTTTGGACTTACCCTTTGTCCCAGAACACCATCCTTTCCTGGGGGGCCATCAGAACCTGCAGGACCCTTAGGGCCAGACAGAATACACCATTAGAACAACTTGGATGTTGTTGTTTTTTGTATCGTAACCCAGTTGAAACCATGTGCTTACATCAGGGCCAGGATCACCACGAGGTCCGTTTGCACCAGGAACACCCACTGGACCTGGAGGGCCTTTGTCTCCATGTGGTCCTGGGGATCCCTGTTTTCCAGGTGGACCCTACAAAAATGACAACAGGCAACAAAAGGACAAAATCAAGCATAAACAAGTACCAACTATATACACCACAATAGCTAAAATAATGTGCACATTGCATAGGATAGGGATACACACCGCTGGTCCTGGAAGGCCTGGCATGCCCCTTTCCCCCCTCTGACCTGGAAGACCCACAATGCCTCTCTGTCCGGTAGTTCCAGCTGGGCCTGGAGGACCATCAGGCCCCTGAAACCATCAAGCAAACAAGATATGTAAATTTGCTGCTCTTTACACTGCAAAAGGATTCATTCAGAAAAAAACAAAACAATGCTTAGTGTTTACCGTGGGGCCATCCTCTCCAGAGTCCCCTTTGTCACCAGGGCTCCCTGGTGGTCCTGCAGGTCCTCGCTCCCCTTGTCGTCCAGGGGCTCCGTGATCTCCGCGGAGTCCAGGAGGGCCCTCTTTGCCTGGAAGTCCCAGGGGTCCAGGTTCGCCAACTGGGCCCTAATATGAAAGTTTACATTATGAAGTACATACAAGTAATAAGATAAGAAAACAGCCCTACTTAACATGTGTTAAGTAGGGTTGATAGTAAGTTTTCTTATTCTCAGAAGTTTCACAACAAACAATATTCTATTTTTAGCCTGTGTGATAGACAGAACGTACCGTTGGGCCAGGTGGTCCAACTCGCCCTGCGGATCCTGGAAAACCAGTAGGTCCCTACAGACAAAACAATAGATAAATCCTTGAAACAGTTTGATAAGTTTTCTGACAGAATGCTAAATGTACTGCTATAAAACAAGTGACACAGCCTTCATAGATGGTGAAACTCGAAGGAGGCCTCAGCAAAATAAATTAGGGTTGGATTCATGATCTTACGGGAGCACCCTGTGTTCCTCGTCCTCCTTTCAGTCCAGCAACGCCAATTGGTCCCTGAAAAATAAACATTTCTCAGTAACGCATCTGCAAAAAGAAAAAGTCACTGTACTGTAAATCAAAAAAGGATGCAAACGGGGGCCACTTAGAAACTCACAGGAGGGCCATGAGCACCGGCTAAGCCTTGTGGTCCTGGAGAACCAGCATCTCCTTTTTGGCCTTGTTCTCCCGGCTCTCCCTTGACTCCTGGTTGACCATCAGGACCCTGTATAGGTGTTGTAATGTTGGCAATAATGTTTACATTTGTCCACCTGTTCTTCACTATGAATATATCTACAAGAGTCACCCAATCTACTCACAGGGGGTCCAGCAAATCCAACAGCACCAATCGGGCCGGGGTCACCTCTTGCTCCCTAAAATGACAACAACTTAGTCTTAATATACTGCAAATTACTAAATAAAGATGATATTATAATATGTTCAAGGCATAAACAGTACTCAGGACTACGCACATGCAATCCTCTTGATCCTGGAGGTCCAGCTGGTCCTTTGGGTCCAGGTTCTCCCTGCACAGAATAATGATGCTTACTGGCAGAAATTTGCATCACCCCTCACTGAGCTGCATTAATTAGGTATTTCTTCTATTTTTTGGAGAAGGGGTATGAGCCAGAGATTGTCTCATTAGTCTTTAACTCATTCGCTGCCAAAGACGTCTATAGACGTCTTTTATGTTTTTCAATTGCGAGTGACTTGGGGGACGATCGGCGAAAGTTTTTCCGTAAATATCGGCTTCTAGACAGAGTATGGACTAACAAATTTACCCTCTAGGTAGCTGTGCCACTTTTGATGGGAGATTAGCATAGATTGTAAGCAAATAAAAACAAACGCAATGGTTCGCTATGAGAGAAATGGCGCCGGTGAGACGCACGTCGAAGAAGAACGGAATAAGGTAGAAACAAAATTTTTTTTCCTGATGATAGAAGAGAGTCTCCTCTTTCTTTTGGTGTGTTTGGTGTTTACATAGTCAAAGCACAAACTATTCTGTGGCTCTTGAAAAATCTGTCAAAATTCTCAAAAAACTCTGGCAGTGAGCGACTCTCTGTTCTGAAAATGGCTGGCAGTCAATGAGTTAATCATGTGCTGGCAAAGAAGAGCCATACCTTCTCACCACTGGGTCCAGCAGGTCCTAGAGGGCCAACGGGGCCGGGGGCTCCCTGGAAACAGTAAAAAGAAGTCAGGTCTGGGATTTCCATCCATCAACATTGCTCGTCGTTAATACCAACATGTCCAGCCCCGTCAGCTGACACAAGTCAGGACATGCCGTGAGATTTCATGAGTTCATTGTCTAATGTGAGCTGAACGTCTTTGTTCATGACTGAGCCAGGAGAGAAAATGTGTTTGCAGGGATAAAAGGGTGTTAACTCACTCTCGCACCATCATTGCCAGGTGTACCCTCTGATCCTTTCTCACCAATTGATCCCTAAACAAAGACAGCAGAGAAGAATAAGGTCCCTTCAGGCAGGGGTAATAGCAGAAATCAGAGTCAACATCTTAAAAAGAAAATGCGAAATAACTATGGTAAAATCTTGGACTTTTCCACAGATACTTACTCTGTCACCTTTGGGCCCAGGAGGACCAGAGATGCCTCTCTCTCCAGGCATTCCCTGAAGACCAGGGGGGCCAACATCACCCAAAGCACCAGTAGGACCTGGGCTACCCTATAAAGACAAATACCAAGATTAGTCCAATTCAGTACATTTCAGCCCACATTTCTCCTTTGCATGTAAGTCACTTGAAGGTAATTGTACCTTTGGTCCATCTGGGCCGGGTGCACCGGGAATTCCTTTAGGTCCTTGCAGACCAGTTGAACCCAGCTCTCCTCTCTCCCCTGGAATCCCTCGCTCCCCCTAGAGAATAGTTACCATTAGTTTATGCCACTGTAAAATAACTTCAATTTATCAGCTTTCACCGCGTTAAATTCACCCACCCTTGGTCCAATCTGACCCACGGGACCAAGCTCTCCAGGTATGCCCTGAAAGAAACAAATTTTGTTTTTCATGCTGGGTTTAAATACAACAAAATACTTTATTCTGACATCAGTATGAGCCGTTTTATAATTCTTATTGTACTCACTAGATCACCTGGTTTACCAGGTTCTCCAGGGGGCCCTTGATTTCCTGGCAAACCCTACAGAAATAAGAAGGTAAAACCTGAACATCAAAGCACATTTTCAAAACATCCTCAATTATTCTTAAGTATTATGTTCTTGAGTCATTATTCTATGAGACAAGTCACAGACCTGGAACCCATTCACACCTGGTGGTCCCTGCTCGCCTCTGTCTCCAGCAACACCCTTTGAAATGATACAATGATCTCGGTCATTTTTATCGGTCATAACAAAATGTTTTAAAAATGTTGTGAAACTAAAAAAAACATGTACATACAGCTGGGCCAGGGGGGCCCGCAGGGCCAACTTCTCCATCTTTTCCAGGAGGACCCTGTGAAAAAAGTGATAAACCTTACCCATCTAGATGGAACCAAGTGAGGGTTTCCAGTCATGTAACTTAATGAGATTGCTATAGTACTTAAGGTTTGCACATAAAAATGTTATATGTAAAATTCTATGGTAATAGACAAATCTGTGTTTGTAAACTGTACTTACTCTTTGACCTGGAACTCCTGCAGATCCCTGTTCACCTGTCTTTCCTGGGTCACCCTTTGAAAGTAAAACATGTTCAAGTATTAGAAATGTGACAGGGTTCAAACAGAACCATCTTACAATAAAGCAACTGTTTTGAGTGACTTTTTAATCTTACATTGAAGCCTTTAGGCCCCGGAACTCCCATGGTTCCTGCAGGGCCTCTGTTGCCAATGGACCCCGCTGGACCGGGTCGACCATCCTCACCTGGGGCGCCCTAAATATTAAAGCACTGGTTTCACCAAAACCTCCAAAGTGAGACATTTGTGAATATGTATTTGTATAAATGTAACACAATGTATTACTGTTTTCATTTCATGTAGGATAATTAGAAAAATATACATATTAGATTGTAATTATTACTGAATTGTGCTTCTTTTGTTGCAAAGTGTTTATATAATGAATGAGTGCTGTGATATACCAGAGGCCCTGGTTTTCCCTCTGCTCCTTGGACTCCTGGGGTACCAGTAAGACCCTGCAGACAAGTTATGAAATAATCACTTTTAGAAGATGATGAAACATTTGCGAATATTCTGATATAGTTCGTAAGTTAAATGGTAACTAAATGGTCAAAGTTTTGTTTTACCCTTGCACCTGGCAGACCAGGCTCTCCGGGACGCCCTGGGTCTCCTAGAGAACCTTTAGGTCCAGGTGGGCCAGAAATGCCACGATCTCCTTGAGCACCCTTTCCAAAAAGACAAAAGGTATTCCCTAAATCATAACAATTAAAACATCTACCAAGATAAAATGTTTACAGTGTAAAAAATAAACTGCACCTTAGGTCCTGGCAGTCCATCAGCACCAGGGAATCCTCTGTTACCAGGAGAACCCTGGAAATACAGATTTGATCCAATTTAGTGAACTACAGGAGAGTCTAGTCTAGTCTAGGTCATTTATTACCCACTAATGGTACAACTATGGCATGTTGCAAGTGTTCTGTGCACCAGATGTGGCTACAGAGGTCAATAGCTGATCTGTTTTTACTTGGGCCACATCTGGTGGACCTGTGGTGTGTCCTGTTTTTGTGCCAAACTTTGTGGGAACTGACAAACAGATTAATATTTGTTAATCATCATTCACCACCATCCAAGGGTGTGAATTTGACTAAAAATCCATATATCTTACATTTTTTTCTTTTTTTCCTATTTTTATAGCAATGTCCTCAAATTGCAACACAGAGAATTTTGATAGGGACTAAGTTTGCTGACTCACTCTCTCACCAACAGGACCTGGAGGGCCAACAGAGCCAGGGTCTCCACGTGATCCTCGCTTTCCTTCCTCACCCTGAGGTCCAATCACTCCTTGAGAGCCTGGTGGACCCTAAGAGATGGACACAGAAGGCAAAAGTTACACTCCAAGGTAAATGACAAACCTTATCTGCTTTCTTATGTTAAAACTGATTGTGTGATTATTTTTTACTAAAAAAGAAAAGCTTTTAAAAAAAATGTATTTAATTTTTTTGTGCTTACCGGTTCTCCTTTGGGCCCTGCATCTCCTTTGAAACCTGGGACACCAACATCTCCCTTTGACACAGATATTAAAACATGTTAATGGCTATATAAACCCTTTTTGTTAATGCTTAAGAATATTCTAATAATACTAAAGAGAATTAAAGAAAAACTTTGTCACTCTACCAGCTGTCCTTTGATACCAGGCTGACCGGTGCTTCCCTGAGGTCCCGGTGGTCCGTGGGGCCCAGCATTGCCACCTGGTCCTTGTGGACCAACATTACCCTGTAAAAAGTGAACCATGTTTTTCAGAACTATATTTAATTAATTCAAATAATTAATGAAAGAATCTCCCCAAATTAAATATCTGTTTACATACCACTGGTCCTTTGGTACCTGTGCCTCCATCTGTGCCCATGGGTCCCTTTGAACACAAATGCTCTCTAGTTAGATAATATATTAAATACGTATACATACAATAACTGGAGTGTACTGTAATGAAACATCAATGTGACACATAGGTGTAGATAAAGTAAAGCATTAACCCTGAGGCCAACTGGTCCTGGTCTGCCCAGGTGACCTGTCTCTCCTCTCTGCCCCTGTGGTCCTTCAGGACCCCGGACACCTGTTGGGCCAGGCTGGCCCTGTGGAAAACAGTTACCAAATACAGTAAATATCAAAAACTGTCATGCATTTATTCCATTAAATGCCCAGGTGATTAGAGAATGACCTCTCTGTAAGCTGTGGTACTTTACTTGCCTTCATGCCCGGTGTTCCCGGATATCCAGCTGAGCCGCTGAGACCCAAGGGGCCCTGTTAACCCACAGAGATGATAAGAAAGATAGAAATGTGCATTAACAGGACAAATAATACAACTTAAGGTGAGGCAGGGAACAGTTTATTATTAGTTTTAGGTCCACAAGCAAGGTAAATTCAAGATTATCTTTCAAAGCGTGGCGAAAAAGAAATACAGAGACACATTTCCAATGTCTGGTTTAAGGTTAATTGTGTGGTCGGAAGGTGGAAGTAGAAGTACGGTTGTATGGTTGCAGTTTAGTACAAGAAGTCATTCTTTTAACTGGAAACACAACTCCACAAAGAAAAATAAATAGATAAAACAGTGGTGAACATAAACATACAAAAAATGAGACAGCTCTCTGGTGATGTGAGGAATATTTAAAGTACGTTGTTGGGAAAAAGCTGGCCGGTCAAATGACTGCGAAGATTCTCAGCTCAGCTTTTTTTAAACACCTTTTGATTGGACTTTTGCTTGTTTACAGGTATTAATTAAAAACAGCAATGGACAACAGGCTCCAAATTCATTTTATTCATAATTAAGGCAAACCCAACGTAGAATTACAGAGACATGAGGAAATAATTTCAGGTATTCAACATTTTCTGAATTCATTGTGAATTCATTGTAAAAAGAAGTCATGTCTGGTAGTATATTCTTATTTAACTCAAATACCAGCTCAGCCTGTGTCAGAATAGAACATGTTAGTTGTAGGAAATAATTTGGATTTGGACTTACCATGGGACCAGGTTTCCCGACATTACCAGGTGCACCACGTTTACCCTAAAAGACAAAAAGGTAATCATTGGATAGCAGACCGTTTTTTACAGTACTTTTATTTGCAGATTTGAACAAAGCATTATTTTCACTGATCATAAATGTCAGTAATGCTTACCGCTGTACCGCCGGGTCCGGGGCGTCCCCTCTCCCCAGGCATTCCAGACGGACCCTGTTTAAATACAGATAAAAAGGAATTGCAGCTTCTCTCTGTCACGGAGGTGGGTGTTGACGGGAGGACTCAGTCGCGGAATGAGGGGAACAAGGTTTATTGACAAAAAACAGGGTGAATGTCCAGACAAAGTACAAAACAAAGCTGTGGCAAACTGTGGGCAAAGTAACAAAGCAATGAGCAAACAATACTGTGGCAAAACTATGACAAAGTAACAAAATAACAATTGACAAAACTGTGGCAAAACGGAGACTATGGCTGAGGCAAAAACTGTGACAAAAGACGAAGGCAAACCTGGCGTGGGGGTGATGACGGACGAAAGGACAAGAGACAAGGCAAGCAGACAAGAACGACCCCGCACCAGACAAGGGGAAACGAGGACTATTTAAACACATGAGGGAGGGAAACCCCAGGTGTACACAATAGGTAATCAAGACGAGACATTCCCCCAGGCGTGACACTCTCTCTTTGAACAAGCATCACTTTGGAGCTGCAAATCATTATGTACATGAAGGTGCATACAGCTCCTGCATATGACAAATAATAGCTAAGCCCCCAAAAAAACAAAAAACATTATTGGTTTAAACAAAATGGGACATTCGCTCACCATTGGACCAGGTCCTCCCATTGGACCTGGGGGGCCTGTAGCACCCTGGAAAAATAGAGAAAATGCATTTATTTACAGCATAATAACACAATATTTAAACAGGCACATCCTATGTGCCAAATTAAACAAATTAAAATTATATAAAAGTATTATTATTATCATTGTTGTGTAAATATTTTACATAATGTTTGTACCTTGGATCCAACTGCTCCAGTTTCACCTTTTTGGCCAAGTGGTCCTGCATGACCCTTTTCACAAAACAGGAGAAAATAAACTCAGCTATGTCTCATACAGAGTATGCCAAAACCCTCTATTCTTGTTCAAAAGGAGCATTTTGATGTTTCAGACAGCAACACTCACTCTATGACCCTTCAAGCCAGGAGGCCCCGGTGTCCCAGGAAACCCTCTAGACCCCTAAAACATGTAACAATGAAGGAGGAGATTAACAAAGCAGAAACAAGAGATTTTGATTCACATCAGTAATGAACTCAAGAAGCTTACTGGTGATCCAGGGAATCCAACTTCTCCTGTATTTCCTGATTTTCCTGGTTCCCCCTGTGTGAGGACATGGCATTTAAACATTTCAAACTTCCATCATTGTATACACCGCTTTTTCTAAATCCGGCTGACACTTTATGAGTGTTTATTTATGTGTCTATTTATGACCCCAAACAAATCCCATTAGTTGCAGTTTTGGCTAACAGAAGATAAGATAAGATAACGTAGACTTTATTGATCTCACAGTGGATAGATTCTACAAAAGTGAAACTGAATGTCATTGTCAGGTGGGCACTTGCCTCTTTAGTTAGAAGTCAAAGCCATGAATGGGTCATTTAAAAAAAAAAACTGTATTTTTTAATATAAGTAGATTAACTATTTTGAAATACAGTAATTAGCAGAGTTCCTATATGTTTATCAAATCAGCTGTCGCCACTATTCGGTTTGGGGCAAAAAAGTGGGATCCTGTGGCTGGTGAGGTTCCCTGAACTTCAGGAGTAAAAGAATTCAAGCTTTGAGGGAGTTTTGTTAGTATGTGTCCTACACATTATGATATATTAACAGAAATAGAATGGAAAGTGTCCATGAAGTCCATTTCTCTCTCTAAAGTTGAACACATGATAACATGAAAAAGACCAAAGCTGACTCACATCTTCACCCGGTTTTCCTGGGGGGCCCTCAGGTCCTCTCTGCCCAGGTGGACCCTGACAAACAAAGCAACATTGTAAACATGTCAATCACACCTTCGAGCAACATTTCAGTTCAATTCAAAGTACTTTATTAATCCTAGAAGGTGAAATTCTTTTGATGTAGCAGCGGCAACACAGTAAATAAACTCCATAAACAACAACAATAGCAATAATGAGAAAAATAATAAGTTCATAAAAACAGTTGTATCTGTTTCCAAAATGAGAACTGTTAAAGGGACTGATGGTGAATGGTAAGAAGGATTTCTTGAACTGTTCTTTTTGACAGTGGAGCTGAATCAGTCTGTTGCAGAAAGAGCTTCCCTGTCCCTGTACTGCTTGATAGAGAGGGTGGGAAGGATTGTCCATTATCGAGAGACTATTGCTCATCACTGACTCAAACGTCTACAGTTTCAGTCCGATAACTGTGCCAGCCTTTCTGAAAAGTTTGCTGATCCTGCTGGCATCCCTGGCACTGATGCTCTCATTGATGAATCTGAGTTTCTGCTGTTTGCAGACTGTATCCCACTGATAAGAATTCACCAAAAACATCCAGTGACTTCACCATGTGCGGAAAATCAAACAGCAATGTTGCCATACCATGTGTCCTGGGTCTCCAACCTCTCCAGGCGCTCCTTGTGGTCCTGCTTGGCCCTTTAAATGACAGTTAAAATATGTATTACAGAAACGGAGAGGAAAGTAACATAATAATATGCTGCGAGTAGCACTCAGTGAGAACTTACTGGTGAGCCATTTGGTCCAGGAGGCCCTCTTGCTCCATTCTCTCCCTACAACAAACACATCAGATTACATAAATAGTCGGGCCTCATAAGAAATAATTCAGTTTACTCTCTAGCAGATGATATCTGAGACTCCTACTGTGGGAAGCTTTGTGATCAATGTTCTGTGAATACTTGTCAATTCCACCCCTAACCAGTGCTTCCACACAAAGATATTCTATTTCAGGGCTATAGATTTGCTGCAGTTTGACCTGAATTGGCCTTCATTTCTTTTAGTAATAATTTGAAAAAAAAACCCACAACTGTCTGTGGTTCACTTGTTTCTTTGAGACTCATCAGTAAAGGCTGTCAGAGAATGGTGCATTTGAAATATTAGGTTACTGATTATTAAAAAAGGGAAACGGCAAAAAAAACAAAACACAAAAAGAACTAGTTCAGACACCTTTTATCCAGCTGCTGTGTAGCAGTAAACCAAAGTTTGTAAAGTCTGGGTGTGGTTAAGAGCTGCTTAGCTGAGTGGGAAAAGTATTTACTTCATCGGCAGAGGCCGCTCAGCTGGGATGAATTTGACACGGTATGAGCCCTACTGCGCATGCGCGCAGCAAGTCCCATCATTTGTTCTTGGTTGAATGTCCGAAACACGACGGGAGGCACCACGAGCAAACATCTGTACCGTTCAACTTCACCGGAGAGTTAAATCCTACTTCAGAGTCCTACTCTAATCAAAAACGGATCAATTTACAATATTTTTTGCAGAAATTTTCTTTGTTTTTCTGGCGTCACAAAGTGCCTTCATGCTCTGCGGCAGCGTGTCACGTGACGAATGAGGAAGTCCACCGCTGCTCGCGGGACTTCTTCGGTGTCGGGGCGGCAAACTAGACGGGCTTTCTCTCAGTCACGTGTTAGCCGTGGTCGGGGTAGAAAATGGAGCAGTGTGAAGAACTGAGCGACTTCGACAAGGGCCAGATCGTCGGGGCCATTGAGATGGGCTTGAGCGTCTCCAAAACGGCAAAGATGGTGGGCTGCTCCCGGGCAGCGGTCGTGAGCTCCTACAGGCAATGGCACGAGAAGGGGCTGCGGCTGTGCGCGGGGCGCCCCAACTTCAAAGACCCGCGCGAGCTCGAGCTCGAGCTCGAGGGAGAAAGTGATAGCGAGGCTGAGGAGGAGGAGAAAGAGGAAGCTCCCTCAAAAGTAACCGGTGGTTCCGTTTCTCAGGACGTAAAACCTCCACAGCCCGACGCGGAAAGAGACGACCCGGCTGTGGGGAACTGAAGCTCCGGTAAATCTTTTGAAAAGGACACGAGAGTTCAAAATGGACGGACTTGACTCTATCCCGCAAGCAAGCATCGGTATTTCCAGGACTGAGAGTACCAGCTGCTAGTTTCTATGGGAGGACCAACAGCCCCGTTATTTCCCATCAGTAGTTAATTTGTTTTCTTATTAAAATGTATTAGAATCTGATGTCGGTTCTCCGTTGTTGCTTTGCTTCTGTGTCATTTGTGGTGAGGAGATGTGGAGTTCGTCAGAAGTGAAGTGACCTACTCAGACCATGTTTTTCCAACAGGGATGAGATGCATTTATCCTGGATATCACACACATACCAGCCCCTGACACAGCCTAATGACCTCTTCCATGATATGGTCTAAAGTGTAAATGCAGCCTGAGAGCCGCAACACTGTATTTTATTTCTTTGACTTCAATCCTCTCAGCAAATCAACTCGTTTATCTTTTAACTGGTCAATAAGATGGGCAGCCCTAGGAGCTTTCTTAGTCAGTTAAAGACGTGCGACCAGTCCCAGTAAGGAGCTTTTTCCAAATAAAAAAATAATACTGAAATGTTTCATTCATACTGAATGAAACATTTCAAAACTTTAATTTTTCAGAGAAATTTGCAACCCCTGGCCTTAAGCCTTAAGGAATCAAAGGTCCCAAATGTTTGTCTTATCTTTTAAAAAGTGTTCAGACATCATGACATTGAATAGAAAACTTAGAATTAGAATTCTATACATTGTTCTTTTATGGTCCAAAGATGAAACTAATATGGGGATAAAGTGCTGATTTGTATTTCCAGCCCAAAACTCAGCACTCATACATCATGCATATGGGGATGTATATACAGATGAACATTTTGAAATAGAAATATTTTTTCTTCGTAATTGAGTTACTGCATATTTTCAATCGTTCCACTAAAAAAACAAAACAATTTCAAAATTTTAGAATGTTCAACCACTAAATTAAAAAAAATATGTATACTTTGTGGTTTGATCATTTTATAGTAAACAAAATGACTGAATTAGAATCCTCTGATTACAGTTATTCCATATTTTTGTGGCACATCAGTTAATAACTTATTTACTAATCTATTATCTGACATCCTCTTACCCTTGCACCATTCAACATGGCCTGGGGTCCTGTTTTTCCATCTAAACCTTGAGCCATCTGGGATCCCAGCCCCTGCGAACACATCAGGTTGTCTGAGTTTAGAACTATTGTGCTTATCTTTGCTAAAAACAAAAAAAGTATACACTCACGCCTGGATGTGTTGGATGGCCTGGGGGTCCTGGTTCGCCAGGCTGACCTGGTATACCAGGCTCTCCATCATAACCTGGAGGGCCTCGCAGTCCCTGCAGAGTAAAAACACGATTTCATGACTCTGATAATGAGTCTGATACTGATTTATGTCCCTCTTTCGGTTATTATTGTGTTTTTATTCTTTTCTTTTTTTTTATTAACTTGAGCAAAAAGTGTGTTTATGAAGGCAGCTCAATATTAAGGTGGAACCTGTGATTCTGATTTGAAAGTAACCTTTTTTTATGAAATGTGAGTTGTGTGGTGAGCAGGAGAACCATGCTCATCAATAAAAATACATAGATATAAATAAAAACTGACATTGCCTGCACCAAGAGGGTTACATTAATTCCTCACTGCTTACAGTTGTGCTTACTAAGCTCTTTACACATCAGCTCTCTGTGTTACATCGTGATTTTTGAGTCTCTTGACCTTGAACCGAGCAGTTTTATTCGGCTCTTATTTTTAGTCTCACCACTTAACTCATTTGACAGAGAGAAATCATTCTCATGACCTCTGCAATGAAAGTGCCCAGATTTCATGTGAATGATGCTTGATGACGCTACCGTATAGCTACTGAAGTGTGTTTACTAAAGTGGAGAGCTGTACAAAGGTGCATATTTCAATTAATACTGCTGTAGATTTAGTGACTTTTATATTTCATTACATATCTCATTGGGTTAGGGTTAGGGTTAGGGTTGCAATGGGGCAATACTGTGTCATCACACAGTCCAGTGACATTCTTATGCTATTTCCTATTGTTGAATCAGGAGTAACAGTTTGTTTTCGTGCCGAGGCTCTGCTTTATGTCCGTGTCGACTTGTGGATGTCACGTACGGGCCTTCCTTTGTTTCCTCGAGATCCCCGATCCCCCGGTGAGCCAGGAGGCCCCTGTTGTGACAAACGAGAATAGAGTTTTCAAAAACCAGCGGACGGTCGTGCGATAACGTTACAGAAATGTGTTCAGATCGCTCAGATTGTCAACTCCGGAGGCAACTCTGGTGGCTTGGGACAGCTCCTACAACCTCCTTTTAAGGTGAAGTTATGCAGGAGTTAGCTGTCCTCTTGTGCCATCTAGTGTCAGTTAAAGTGGATGAGCGTCTCCTAGAAAGGGAAGTCTCCCTTGGACGAAACTACAGACGAAACGCAGAGCGACGCTGCTCACCATCGGTCCAGGTCGGCCTCTGATACCAGTTACAATCGGGACCTCCCCAGGCTCTCCCTTCTGGCCCTGAGTAAACAGAGAAAGAAAATGGAAGATCTTTCAGATGACCTGAGGGTGATCGTACCAGCAAATGTCTAATGAAGCAGCAACGGCCTACCTTGTAGATTCTGTCCCCGCCTACATTGAGGAGAACACAAGAAAGTCGCTTGTCAGTGTCGGTTGGGGATACAAAACCATTCCACGGCTTTGTTTTACCCGTTCACTCACCAAAGCCGCCCGTCCCACCGGGGTTGGGTTGGTCGCTCTGACATGTGGGGCAGCACTCGCCCTCGGGGACCACTATCTTCTCGCAGTTGTGGAGTTCCTCGCATTGGATCTCGTCGCAGAGGACCTGGCCGTTGTCACAGACGCAGATCTGACATGGCTCCGGCTTCCAGATGTCCCTGTTTGAGTACACCTGGCCGTCCGCTGTGCAGCTGTTCGCATCTCCTGGGGCGCACGGAGAAGGAGAACACTCTCAGTTTTGCCACAAACACAAACTCAAAATCCGTATTTGTTTTTATTGGTACTTTTTGAGAACTATGATCAGTCACACACATAAAAGACTGACCCCTTGTTGAAGCCTTTATATGGAAATTTGACTTAAAAGTCTAGATCTCAGCTCTTTTTTTGAGTAGATTCAAGACTACATGGTAAAATTGATTGAAAATTCAGATGTAACAAGATGAACAGAAACAAAAAACCCATATTTTTTGTGTGGATACCGCTGTAAGGTAACAGCGCAATCCACAAATCTATCACGCCAAAATCGTAGAAGCTGCCTACAGAAAAAGTGGGCTCCTCCAGGGTTATACCAAATGAGAGAAAACTGAACCCAAAGACTGGAGAGAAAACATTTGCGGCAGCTTAAACTTAATGCGAAACACAGGTTTCCACCGTGTGCTGCACACAGAAGGGGGGGGGGGAACAAAAAGTCTGGAAAACATGATTCGTTGTTACAGTGAAGTCTCCAGCAGTTAGACATGAGGTCATTTCCTCCACAAACCTGTCTCACAGTCAAAAGAGAAAAACCTGTAGCCTCCTATGAGGCAACTCTATGTCCCAGGGGTCCAGTTAACCGCTTTAATTTGTGGTTCAGTTTCACGTGTTTGTCACATATCTGACAAACATCTGATCATTTGATAGTACACAACGTATCCCAACAAAATGGTTGTCTTCTCCACAGCCCTGGAAATAGTTATAGTTCTCAAATTCCTTCTATCCTTCCTTTTCTCCTCACATCTGCTCAGGAAATAAGGGAACAGAGTGGACGCAGAGGCCCGCTGCCTCTTGTGGGGGGGGTCTGGCTCTACGTGTTCTGTAACCGGAGCTTTACCTGTTCCTGCTGCGGACAGCAGGGGGCAGCTGTGAGCTTCACACGGCAGGTGAGTCAGATCTGCTACCTACAAGTTCCAGGTAGTGTTTTATATGATGTCTTTTTTGCTTGTTATTCCAAAAAAAGCAACCTCCAAAATGAGACTAACCCACCCAAAGCCAACGAGAGGCTTTAAACAAACAAGGCCTGAATAAAAATAGTTCCAAGTTCAAAGTCAAGAAGCAGATATGAGGTGTACAATGGGTCAAAGTGAACAGTTACATCATGAAAGGGATCTAAATCAACATTAGTGGCCGCTTATATTGCATTTTTTTCTGTTCCTACACACAGGAACAGTTGGACAAACCTATGCGTTCGTTTTAATGGAGTCAAATCAATCCTGTATGTATGGATTTGTTGACCACTGAAAGGCCTTTAACACTCCAAGCCAGACATAAGTGCATGCACATTTTTTTCATGTAGCTCTTTTTGGTTCATGCATTTTTAAAAGTTAAATCGTACATTCATGCATCAGTAATCGTTTTACACACAAAACGGGGTCGAGTAAAGACTTTAGCATATGGACTGGGGAAGTGGGAGCCTGAACCCCTGACCCCTACACTGACAGATGACCGCTCTTCCCCCTGAAGAGCTGCCCCATTAAACAGGGAAGCACAGATCTCAGTGTAACACAGCTAAAATAGAAAATTATAAAAATACGTCAAGATAAAAGTCATGTATCCGAAACCCATGCAAATAAAATTAGCTAGACAGTAAAAATGAGTCAGAACAGGATATTGGAATAATCAGAGTCACCCGTAAATCTTATAGTCTTTTGGATCTCAATTAAAAACTAATTAAATTACCTTTTGCAATAATGTAGGCCAAATGATTAAATGTATTTTAAATTTTTATTTTGATCTCTTATGTTTAAGATGTCTTATTAAGAAGACTAATGTCACCTGCCGCAAGAAAACATTTTAAAAAAATCTTTTTTATACAGTGGAAGCCATTTTCTTCTGCAGGTATCAGAGCACCGGGGTCTGAAATGTGAGGTCAGTGAGGGGCCTGAGGAGGGAAAGCTGGACCGATGCAGTCGGCCTACATTGTTTCACTCATCTGAAACACAACGACCACAGCTGTAAACGCTCCCTTGGCATCCAACCGCTGTCGGCCATTGACTCTCTGCCTTCATGCCTCTTTCCACCATCTGTGTATATTCCAAAGGATCAACAGTCTCGAACCAGTAAACAAATCCTGAAGGTACGTTCTCTCAGTTGTCCGTGCTCTTTCCAGTGTGCAGCATTTGATGAAACAGCAAATTCGATGTAGTTCAGCAATCTAAAACAAAAATTGTATCACTTTTTTTGTCTAATCATTAGAGTAGGAGTCTCTGCCAAAAGCGCTGACTTAGCTATTATCTTGAAAATACTCAAAAAGCTCCTGCTCATTTCCCATCAATATATATATATTTTTTTTTTTTTCATAATTTTTGCTGCCTTCAAAAATCCTTTTGTGAAATTTCATCGAGGCACATGTCATCTCTGTGGGTGGTGTGTGACTTAAGCTTTCTGGTCAGTGCTGAGACATAAAAACGTCTGGCCACAGAGCAGCGGAGTCATTTTTGCTGTTGAGGTTTTGAGAGATCTGAAACGCGGCTCGTTGGCAGAGTTTGAAATTTACTGGAAGAGAAGGCTCACCACAAGCCGTTTGATGGAGGGGGGGGAGCCACACGCCCGCTTTTAACCTCCCCTCAGCTCATTTGCTGCACATTCTGCACTTTTTCCCCCCAGTTTCCTAGTCATGACATCCCACCTATGGGCCCGGATTTTTCCACCGCTTAGTTAAGAGGGCAGACGGTTTCCTTCCCTTGTTTCAGAGTCGGAGTCTAACTTTTCAACATGACTCATGCGTCTGATCCACTCCATGCTGCTCATCAGACATCATTTAGATGGCAAAGAATCCAACCCACATCCTTTGTCAGCTAACATTGTTATTGAGGAAAAACCTGAAGAAGCTACCTTCTGTGATGTAGCTGGTAACTGCATCACAAAAAAAAAAAAAGACTCTTCCTTGGCTAATGTGGAAGAACTCGAGACAAAAAAAAAGTGACCTGATGGAATTAAGAGATCCCTCCAAACTGAAATCTTAATTTACGATTAGCCACAATGTCACATCGTTTCGAGAAACACAGTCAAAATGATCAAATTTGTTCAGAAGAAGATGTTCACTGAAGCGAGAGCGGCCTGGCCCTTGCTCACATAGTTTGTTCTGCGAGTTGCCCGCGCTGATTCCTGGTCCAGATGAGTTCCAGCTGTTTAAGGGTCCTGCAGCTGTTCTTTCCTGCTCTAAAGCTTTTTGGTGCCGGGGCCGAACATAAATCTTCCCTCTCTGCGGGACCTTTATCCCAGTTTTATACCTGTAACGCACATAACCCCAACCCTAAGTCTAGATCTTGGGTAAAACAAAATGAGATGTAAGAGTTTAACAACATAGGCACCATTTTTGTTCAGTGTTTGAGGTGAAAAAACTGGATCGGCAAGATCCAGCAGGATCGCAGATTTTGGGGAATTTCTCATTTCTTATGGAGTTGCGTAGATAGCTTGCTGTGTGGTGTTGTGCGATGGGCTTGCAGTCTGAAACTAACGCTCCAGTTCTAACATGCTCCTCGGCTTGGCTTCCACAAACAAAAGCTCTGAATCTCAGGGGAAGGGGGGGGAGGAAGCTCCGGCCAGGAAAGTTGAAATGAATAAGCAGCTTGCTGATTACATGTCTAGGCTTTTCCATCAACATGCCCCCGTCTCCAGTGGGCCTTCTTTTCTTTTTTTTTTTTTTTAAAGAGGCAGCCACAGTTATGAGCTGTGCTCTTCCCATGCTCAGCTCCGGGAGGGTTGTGGTCCCTCTAAAGTCCACCCCCATTCTTCTCCTCCCAATCTCTTGTGCTGACTAACTCTGCTTTCTGCTGCCTTGGATTTAGTTCAAACTCCACTTAAGATCCAACATTTTAGACAGAAACCAATTATTTCCATCCAAATTTGCATCGTACGGCCGACTTTATCCAGTATTTCCCCTGAAAATAACCATCTCTGAGCTTGATTTAATTAGCTGTGATGGGGAGACATGGAAAAATCTAAATGGATTAAACATCTGATGCAAGCATGACTCACTCCCCTATGCAGAAAATACCATGAGAGCAAGAACTAAAAAGAAAATGGTGCTGACAGTTCCAGTCACACAGACGGATAGGAAAGAATTTGACTTGCTTTCTTTATGATGCACATACCCTCTTTGACCAATGGCATGTGGCTGAAATGAAGAATCAGAGAAGTAGACACTGGTTTTAATGGGGATTGTTGTTGACCACAGTAAAAGGTTGAGGCTGTTGAGACCTGAGGCTGTAGGAGGTCAGGGTCAGAGTTTAAAGCGGGGGCGATCTCTCTCTGATCCCTCATTAGAAGCTTCAAGTGAACGCATTCGACACAAGGAAGGCAGTGTCCAACATACTGACTCAATTCTGATGTCAACGGAAAAAACTTCTCTGTTTTTACAGAAGAGATTGCTTCACACATGATTTTAAAGTTCCCTTTTAAATGTTTTAAATTATGTTGTCAACTTATACATAACGTTTTTAAAAAGAATAAGTTTCAAAATCATGAACTGATACCAAAACTAGGGACTTCTGTTTGGAATCTAGACTACCACTTATACTCTCATGAAAGTAAGGGCAACTAGATGACATGTTTTACAAACAGTTGTCAAGTTTGCTAATGTAATGTAAATAGAATAGAGTAAGAAATAGGTCCATCCATCCATCCATCCATTATCGATACCGCTTATTGATGGGGTCGCGGGTAAGAAATAGGTCAACGAGTAAAATTAAAAAAGAAGTTGCATCATTAGCAGATTTCACAGTTTTCATTAACATTTCAAATTTGTTCCTGTCCTTTACATTTGTCATCACATATACTGTCTGCGAATTGAACTGAATTTCCCAAAAAGCAGTATTCACAGTTCAGTATGAGTTAAGATACTGAACTCAGAGACTGTTTCGAAGCATTTTGCAATTGAAACGAAGCATAAGTATAAGTATAAACGGAAAAATATCACCATCAAAACTAGAGGAATGCCATGTTTA